ATGTATGTGGTCACGAGTGTAAAAAGCCATGGGACTTGGCTTGTCTGCTGAACAAGTTCTAAAATTGAGCTCCAGCTTAGTTCTTTTAATAAAATTTATGAGGTACTTGAACGAACTTTTATATGAGCTGATTCTAAGTTGTTCAGTCACACATAATAAAGTAGACCAAAAGCATATTAAAAGAACCATCAAGCCTCAGAATGTTTCCTCCTTAAAGAGAGTTAGAACTTGGAAAACACCATTCTCATCCATAAATCAAGTATAACGTGTGTAGTACAAGATCAAAATAGGATAGAAAGTAAAGTTGGTAAGTCAAGACACAACCGGCACTATTTTCAAGATATTAATTTTTCTATTATGATGTAGATGGACTCGTATGATGTCTAACATTTAAATATTATCTACAATTACATGTCTTAGTAGTATTTGACACAAAACTCAACCCGAGAGAAAAAATGATGTCAAATCACTTCTTCTAGCCAAGCATAAGAGCCTCTATTAACACTCTTCAAGAAGAGTTGTGACTCTTCACTTAGATGCCAATAGACACTAATTTAGAAGAGATGTAAACATTTGAGCTTTAACCATTAGTGACTATTCTCCTATATTCACTTAACCAGCAACAACTACTTAATTTTGGAATATATATCATTATTAGTGAATGTTTATATACATTTTATATACGCAACAGTAGAAAGACAAAATGTAAATAGTCATGCTAGGAATATCGAAAAAAAAAATGTTTCAATAATACAGTGTGAAATGGAGTCTAATCATTTGTATATCAAATATTAATAACAAGTTTTAGATGTACTTGCATTTAAGCGTATGCTATACAATTTTTTGGTGGTATTATGTGGTTTATGCAAGAGGGCATCATCCAACCTTGTCCATGAACCTCTCCCTTAGCTCATGTTCATCAACAAAATCTTGGACATTGCACCTTGTCTAGTAAGATAAACTACGCAAAAAAAGTAGATAAATGGAAGAAAATAAGCTTGCATAAGGAAGACATGTTCCTATTGTGTACGTGAGGGGGCGAGATTCAAACACAAGCTACAAAAGATGTAACGTAAGATTCATATTTCAATACACTGTCACATGTGTAGATTAGATTTTGGTACTAACATATAAATTTTTTTTAATAATCAAGGTAACGGCGAGATTAAAACCTAATAGTAAATCATCATCTACTCTAAAAGTTTAAGTTTCTAGAGAGAATGTAAATTAAATATATATCTATATGAACCATGTCTAATAAGGGAGAGTACAAGAACTAGGTTTTTGGGGAGCAAAAAAATTCTTTTCTTTTCTTTTGTTTTTGTCAAAGTTGTCTATTCTAGCAACCTTCCCCTATTTTTCTCATTACCATGGAACCATCAATAATCATGTCAGCAATTTTCATGTGGAACTTCAAATTAGGCAAAACGAATGAGAAAATGGAACATTATGTGCAAAGAAGAGAAGAGAAGAGAGAGTACAGCAAAGAAGAGAGACATTCCTTTTTGAAAATAAAATTTGCTTGATCACAATCGTATTCCATATTTATAATCATAGATATACTTAGTAACTTTTCTACAAAATAGGGGTAAGACTATCTATCTCATCTCTCTAAATCTCTGCATTGAGACATCAAATGTAAGAATCCCACATCGAAAGGAAAAAAAAAGAAGAAGTAAAAGTGTCCTGATATACTATAAATAGACTCACTATATATACACAAACTTTTAATTGAATATATATTTCAAACTTGTATATTAGGCCTTTTATGATTAAAAAATTCACTTCTCTCTCAACAATTGGTATCACAGTTGATGGCTAATGGTCCTGTGAACTCTTCAAGAAGCAGCATAGTGTGTTTGATATTGATACCATAAGTGGTAAAAAACAATTAACCCTATCAATAATGTCTCAAAAACTTGCTTTTTGGAAGTGGCTCTTGGAAAAAATGTTTTGGACACGATGACATGGGTGGATCAAGTAAGGAGCTGCCCACCATCAATTTCATAACTGTTTTATGAGAATACGAGCTGAGATTGACTTAAAATTACATATTTGGTCAATTATGTAGTTTCAGAACTTACTTCAATTGACTTTTGATTACATATTTATGAGTTTTTTTTTAATTTACATTCTGAATTTAAAATGAAATTTGTTACAATTAGCCTTTATCATTCTACAACTTGTCGTCTTTATTTTTCTACAACTCACTGTTTCTACCTTTGGTTGTAGAAAGTGATGGATCAAGGTCGAGGGAGAGTTAAAGTCATTTTTCTCACATGTGAGGGAGATATTGTTGGTGTCCATTTTCTTATGGATAGCAAAGGTCTTCTAAAACTTCGGTGTAGGCTCAAATCCTATTGGGCACAGTTTTTTCCTATGGAGATAAGAATTTTTTATTGACCATGTTCATAATAGTAGGACTTACTAGATGAAAAGACCGTAGTTGAGCTTAAGAAAGAAATTTCAGAAACTCATCTGGCTAGACCTAACAAAAACTCTTTGTACTAATGGTCCCTTACTAGCTTTGCATGCTTGGTCGTACAACTACGCCAAGAAAGACATGGAAGAGGTATGTTGGGTGAAATAATATACTGATGCTATTATAGAATCTTATGAATCACACACGACACAGATGGAAGCCTAACTCATATGAAATCTCACATCAATATATTAGGTGTGAGCATTTAGCAATGTCAGCAGCATGGTGAGGGATGGTTGTCTGGGGAAAGGTTAAGGTAGGGCCTAGGTGCCTTGCTTCTACAGAAAAGTAATCCACCATCTTGGAGGAACCCAAGGCAGGGGCCACCAATCACAAGTTTTCAGTACTTTAAAAGATAGAATATTTTTTTGTAGTAGTCTTATGCCCGCCCCCAGTTCAGATAAGGGAATGCTTCCCCCAACCATTAAAGGAAAGGCTCGACGAAGGGATGAAGATGCGGAGGAGCTTTTTCCACTTAACAATCCCTTTCTACATTATTATCTTTAATATACTACGAGCTAACCCATTGGCTGTATGTTCAATCTTTTAGATGGATATGAGTTTGAACCATGTATATTAAGTGTTTTGAAGAATTCCCTTCTCTCCCAACACTCTTCCAGATACGACTAAATAATATAAGCCTCTAGGCAGTGGTAATGAAACTGCTCTAGCCCATTCCAAATACCTTGTCAAGTCCCACTATCAAATGCATATCACATAAGTAAACCTTTGGAAGCTTAAATATAACGATAATGGAAAGAGAGAGTCTGAATTACGAAATATCAAATACTCATAACTATATCATTACTTGGTAGATTTCAGAATCATGAACTGGATGTAAATGATAGAATCTAGATCATATTGAACCAAGCAAAATAATCTCTTAAAATGGCTAGAGCGCAAGAGATTTTCTCAAATTATCCTGTTAATTTGCACAGATTTTCTCAAATTATCCTAATTTTTGACAAGCAAGAAGAACTAGCTAGCTAGCAGCAAATGAAATGTACAATGTGATGAATACATCTCTCAATGATTGAAGTTGTATGATCTTTCAGGTATAGGAGCCTCTAAATGAGTAGGTTTAAATAGTATTGCTCTTATGTATTTGCTCGTCCATGAATATGATCGTGACAGTGATTTATTAGCTGGTGGAAAGATACTAAGGCTTTAATGTTGAGCAGTGAAATGTCAATGAGCATGAAAAGAATTTGTGTCAATGCAAAGCATACTGTTTACATGGTGTCATCCCATGGGAGGCACAAAATCAAGTCGAATCTCAATAGAGCCAGACAACTGAAAACTAAATATGCAACAAAGATATAATATTGAGCCCCCCCCCCC